TAAACTTTTTGAGTACGTCTAAAAATGTCGGCCCTGTTTAATATTTAAAAATCAAGCTGCATGAACTGATTTTTGTTGTTGTTATCCATCAGGTCTGGAGATCGATGGACTCTACAGAGTTAGTGGGAATTTGGCAGTCATCCAGAAACTGCGTTTCAAAGCAGATCATGGTATAATTCATCAGCATGCATTTTACACTTCATCAGCTCAGTTTACTAGCTCTTCACATCTGCACCAAGATGTCATACTCTGTATTATAGTTTGTTCGTTTCCTTTTGTATTTAAGAAGATGTCACTATTGCATTTGCTCATAATAGGAGCTGTAACTTTAAAGGGGTCATATGATGCGATTTCAATTTTTCCTTTCTCTTTGGAGTGTTACAAGCTCTTGGTGCATAAAGAAGATCTGTAAAGTTGCAAAGACTAAAGTCTCAAATCCAAAGAGATATTCTTTATAAAAGTTCAGAGTCAGCCACACCTACCTAAAACGCCTCGTTCTAACACGCCCCCACATGTCTACATCACTATGTGGGAATATTTGCATAACGCCGGCCAAATGTTCACGCAAAGAAAGAAGGCGTAACTTTTATTCTCGCTGAAGTATTGTTGCCGCTGCTGCCATGTCGTGAAGACGCTGTGTGCTTCGTTGTGAAAGCGAAACTACTTTGTTTGGTTTTCTAAAAGAGGACGATATCCGCTCCGTCATGCCTGGAGCTCATCCGTGCTGGTCGCTGAGGGAATACTTCAACTTACTGATCCTGGGAGAGTAGCGTTAGACTAAAATGCCGGCAGTTCTGACTCACGTAAGTACGTTTTCTTTTATCATTTGCCACTGATGATTCAAACGTGAGTTTTGGGCAGTGTAGAGTAGCTCTTGTTGTTTGTCATTTCTCCGATCACAAATGCAGACAGAGTTTTATGTTTACGCGGCGCGATGCAACGCAAGGCGTAAAAAGACAGTATAAGTCATTATAATCAGTAATTATGTCCCCACTGGATGCATCAAATGCCTCGTTTGTAATAGGTTTTATTGTTTTTGTCTCGTCGCTCCGGGACACGCCATCACAGTATGGTAAGGGGCGTAACATTTCCGTCACACGCTTGAGGTATTCGGCCAATCACAACGCACTGGATAGCTGGCCAATCAGAGCACACCTCGCTTTTTCAGAACGATGAGCTTTGTAAAAATCGACTCGTTTCAGAAAGGCGGGGCATAGAGGAGAAACAATAATGTACAGTATGTAGAAAATAATGTGTTTTTTTTTACTTTAAACCGCATAAACACATTTCATTACACCAAATACACAAAATAATGATCTTTTTAGCAGCATCGTATGACCCCTTTAAGCTATCATGCCGGTTTCACACCACAAGCGTGAGCAACACGTATTGTTTTCGGCGTGCATGTTAACAAAAGAGTGCATTCACACTGGGAGCAGGAGCGTCGCGTGAGCAGCACTGAAGCAATGGTTTCGGCACAGAGTCTATTTTTACTGCGCTGCTCACACTCACTTAAAGTGACAGCACACTTTTGAGAGACAAAATATATGATTTCACACAAAAAGTGCCAAAAATGCACAGAATAAGCATGTGTAGTGTGTTTTAACAAGAATTGGAGTATGTCAGAAAAGAAAATGAGGAATCAAAAATATGTACTGTATATGTTTTTATTTAATCAGTTTGGGTGAAAGTATAGTGTATTAAAAAAATAACATTATAAACAGCACTACTATGGATGAGTGTGGGTTATTGAGGTGATATTGTGCTGAGATAAGACATTTTACATTTAATGCTAAAACTAGAAACAGAAACAGAATAGAGATTGCGAGGAGAAGCACCACTTTTTAGTTTTTTTTCTCATATTTGGTCAGTAGTGATTTTCCACGACCCAAGCGTTTCCACTCACATTGTCTGTGTCTTCTTGACACTTTAGCGATTCCGACCGACTCGTGTGTGTCTCTGTGTGTTTCTCCAGAGGATCTGGACCTGGAGGAGGGGACCTGGGACATCCATGTGATCACAGGAGCGCTGAAGCTCTTCTTCAGAGAGCTGCAGGAGCCTCTTTTCCCTTACAGTCTCTTCAATGATTTCATCAATGGCATCAGTAAGATCCCGAAATGCGGGAGTGGGACTCTAGCGGGTTTCCAGTGTGGGGTTTTCAGTGGCCAAATAGAAGCTCATTTCTGCTGCTGATATTGGTGAACTTAGTCAAATTTCCTTTCTTGCATATTGAAACTGAACTAGATATATGATCATATATTATACTACAAAAATACAAAATAGAAAACCTTTTTTTTTTTAGATTTTTTTTGACTCCACAATTTAGATATTTTTAATTATGCTGCTAATATAATTTGTAGTAAACTAATTTGTATTAAACTATAAAAATGCAAAATACATTTTCATGATTGTATCTTTCTCAGATTTTCTTGATTGCGTAATATTGATATTTTTATGTAATATAATTATACTGATAATATAATTTATAGTGATATTTTTTTGTTACAGTACAAAAACATTTCAATGTTTTTTTTCAAAAAGCAAACTAAACAAATGCAAAAGAGAACAATTTTATTAATTTTCGTTTCAGATTTTTTGACCCCATAATTTAGATATCTTTATTTAATATAATTATTATGCTGATAATATAATTTGTAGTAAAACAATTTTTTTATTAAACTATAAAAATGCAAAATAGAACAATTTTCATGATTGTTTCTTTCTCATATTTTCTTGATTGCATAATATTGATATTTTTATGTAATATAATTATACTGATAATATAATTTATAGTAATATTGGTTCATTACAGGAAAAAAAGAAAAATAGAAACATTTTAATATTTTTCTCAGGTTTT